TAAGAACAATTTCGCCGGAAAACCAACGTTGGTCGCTTTGGCTCAAACCGGAGCTGATTGCGAAAATCCTGTCCTATGTCGAGTAAAACCTCACTTCCATCTGTTCAGGGAAAAAAGAAGGGTTACTATTGTCAACCCACAAGCGTCTATTGGAAGAAGGGGAAATGGTTACAGTCTAGATCTCATTCCTTTTCAATACAGTAGAAGAAGTCCAGGTGTTTACCACCTTCAAAAAGGTGACAGTCCGCCACTCAAGAGGTAATTGCCCATGTCGAATGGACAGAGTTAGGACGACATCATCTCATGAATCGATGCCGATCGCAGGATTTCCACAATCCTTAAAATGCACCAAACGTGACATCCCCATCTCCACAAGCATCCGAGTGTATCAAGTGTCTCATTCTGGTCAGGTCTCCTACACGGCTATGAATATGGATGATGAGCGAAAACCGGTGTTTGAACACCGCTTCGGTTGGGATACATCGATTTTGTCCCAGATGAGACAGTCGGCATTCGCTGCGACAGAATTGCAAATATATCTTGGGCCACTCAAGAAAGACGATTGAGATAATTTGGGTATGTTCGTAGTTCGCCTCATGAGCTCAATGCTGCTACTCGCGATTTGTCGCCGTTCGTTTTTGACCCAGAGGTGCCAAAGGAAAGACAAACTGAAAACCTGGCTGGACACAGTTTGCCAATAAATGGCAAAGGTTCTTGGACATTCGGTATTGCAGATCAGAACGAGTGAAGAAGTAAAATCCACGACATCACCGAGGCCGTCCAGATCATAGTTGTACCAGGTACCAGTAAACTATTGCATGAAGATTACCGAAAAATTATTAGGAAGGTTTGGCAGATGTGAATAATTCAGTTGATTCAATTGTGAAAGATTCGTGACCTCTGTGTATCCGTAATGGTGGATTCCATACAATTAGTAGGTTGGGCGTGTAAATCGACCACAGTGTGATCAAATTCACAGACCATGGTAAGCCTTGTAGTTCAATAGTAGACCGTTGGCTGCGCAAAAGCCCTCCCTGGTGTCTGGATTCGACTCCCACCGAGGCCGCGAATTTTTCACAATTGGGTCAACTGAATTACCGACAATACTGGCCGCTGTACGGCTGCTAGCAGGGTTAGGGAATGAGTCTCCAGGCAGAACT